TGAAACCTCTACCCATTTAGGGCTCGATTGTGATTCACCAATTAATAATTAGAAAGCTCCCTTTCTAATGGCGTTCTCATCTGGGACACCATTTGTTGGCTGATTGATTCTGAACTACTTTTAAATCAGACATTCGTGCGCATCTGTGTGATCACCCTCCCCATCCTGGTTCTTCACTAGTGGCACCTGGCTGAATTGCCTGGCTCGCTCCTGTTGGTGTCTTTCTGTGGGAGGGGAATGTGAACATGTCACCTGTCTTCGACTAAAGCCGTTTTCTCCTCTCGTCTCTGGCCGCAGCTCTTCCACTCCTACCCTCCTGCAGTGTCGGGCATCCCCCCCATGATCCCACCCACGGGCCCTTTTGGTTCACTACAAGGAGCATTTCAGCCCAAGGTAAGGAGGGCACAGGGAAGACCCCAGGGGTGTGTCTTGCTGGGCACGAGGGGGTCTGCCCCTTCTTCCTGCACAGTGACTGACTTCTCAGATCCTAAGTGACCCGGGGATTAGAGTGAGAGGATTTTCTTCTAGTCCATTTAGTTTTAAGCCTCAGCAAAAATTGAGGCTTCAGTTGGTACTCCCACGTGATCTCAGCTGAGCTTCTCTGTCCCCTGTGGAAGATGCCACCACGAGCATGGGCTTCTGTCCAGGGACCCATGACCTCTGAGCCCAGCTGACTTTTGAGGCAGAGATGGGAGGCTGGGCCTGTCAGTTTTCCAAGGAAGAGGCTGGACTGAAGTCCCAGGGGTGCAGCAGTCTGTGTTGTTGTATCCGGGAGATTCCCCTCCTGGCCCGCCCTGTCCTCCGCAGCCCCAGCTGGGCAGGCGGGTCTGCTGGAGCGGAGGCCGAATCTATGGCCTCCTGGTTCTGTGCTTCTCCTACCGCTGGCTCTCAGCATTCAAACTGCCAAGGTCACAAACATTTTTGAGAGGGACTTTCAGGATATGCATGTTTAAAATCAACTGCAGCCCATTTTACTCTCTTACCAAAGTGACGCATCTTCTAGTTGCAAAACATTCTCACATTTTTCAGGCGAGGTTTTCTGTGGTATGTGGTTTTCTTTTTCTCTCCATCCCATTTCTGAGGTGAGCACCAGGGTGGGGCCAGCCTCCCAGGATGGGCACCTGCTGTTTTGCCCAAGATTATTATACCTGGAGAGGAGGACAGAGGCCCTGGGGTGGGGTGGCTGCCCTCCAGGCCTCGTCGTCCCCTTGCAATGAGTGCCCCTGACATGCGAGGTCACACGTGCAGAGGGCTCTACAGTGGCTCAGCCAAGTGCCTCCTATCTGGAGATCGAAGAAGGCGGTCTTCAACTCCTTCCCCGAGCCTGCTCTTTACTGCTCCCTCGGACCCTGGTCCGTCCCTTCTAGGTTGGGACAAATCTCTAGTGCATCCCCAAACAGACTGGTAGGTCATTTAATAAATTAGACTATTTCCCTCACTCACAATTATCCAATCACACAGAAAACTGCATCTGGGCAGGAGAGAGCCTCTGCTGGTGTGGAAATAGGCCTTTCCAGGCCACCTTCCTGATTGAATATGTAGATTGCAGTTCATTAGTGGAGTTCTTCATATGTATGCAAATCAGGCTGTTAACAACTCCAGCTTAATTGTTGGTTGTGCCGCAGCTGATTGCTTTCCTTTCATTCCTTCCCCCTTCACCAGGGAGGCGAGCCTGGTGCCTGAACTTGAGCTCCTTTTCCACACGAGTTAACTTCTGGTGTGTGTGTTGGGGGGAGGGTGTCCTGGAGGTTGTGATTTCCTAAATAACTGGTGTTACATAGTTTTAAAATCCTTCTCCCACAAGACCATAATGACTGTGCCCGAAGTAGGCTTTTGGTTGTTGTTCATTCAAAGGACAAAAGCCTACAGATAGGTTAATATTATGAGTGGTGTGTAAGAAGGGAGGTAGGATAGGGGAGACACAGGCAGAATTTGATACTGCGTCTGTGTGGTCCCTATGTTGGGTTCTCTTGTCCCATTTCCACCACCGCTAATGAGTCATTACTGAGTGTAATTTTCTTGTTATTGTCTGCCAGTTAAAACGTGGAGCGTTGGCTTAATGTCTGCGCAGTGCTGTCAGCTCTTCTGATGAGAAGCACCTGACACTGCAAACGATGGCAGTGTTCACTTGAGCATCTCCTGGAACGTCTGGAGGGGGCAGAGAGGCGGCCAGCCAGAGCTGGGCCACCTGGGAAGGAGGCGTCCGGGCCAGCCTCTCCAAGTGTGGCTGCTCTGTTTGGTCCCTGTGGCTTCCACTGTGGTGACAGGTGCTGGAGGCCACCTCTCTGCTTTAGATGGCATGGGAGAGAGCTGCCTCTGGTCAGAGAGCTGGAGAAAACAGGGAGCAGCCCTGTACAAGCTCACGGGCTCACTGAGAAAAATGAGTCTGTGATTTAGAATGAAACAGATGAAGTCTCACTTCTTCATTTAGAAGGAGGAAAGGTTTTGCTTCATGTCCCGTGTTTTGTGCTTCCTAAGCTGTGGTCTAATTAATTTGTAGACATCCAACCCTATCGATGTTGCTGCTCGGCCCGGGACAGTCCCACACACTTTACTTCAGAAGGACCCGCGGGTACGTGCCAAGTCAGGCTTGGTCTCAGGTAACCCGGGTGTGTGCAGGGGACAGGTCCTGTGCACGACCCTCCTATCTCCTTTGAGAGAGCTGCTCTCAGGGAAGGGACTCTTCCCACCTGTGCAAGAGAGTGCCAGTTCCTCCTGGAAGACACTCTCTCCTGCCCTGTGAGTGACACCTGAAGGCTGACTTCCCAGCAAAAAGAGGGGGACGGGCTTGTGATCTGAGCTAGAAAGTGGACACTGTGGCTTCTCCAGTTCCTACTTGACTAGCCTTTCTGTCTGCAAGTCCTTATGTTGCTGTGGGTGCTCTGGATAGACAAGCACTGAGTGCTTCTCCTGCTGGACATCAGCCCCGCCACCCGCTACCCGAGGTCAGGACATCTCAGACCCCATGGCTCCCCTGGCCCTCTACTTTTAATGTGGCCGGGATCCCCTGTGCTCTAGACCTGAGTAAAATATCCATGATGTTTTGGTTACGTCATTTATTAATGGTCTACACTGCATCTACTCCCAAAGAAGAACTTGAAGTTCCACAGGAGGTACAATCTTGTCTCGACAATGGTCATTTATCTTTATAGTAAATGTGAGAGAATGATTGCCATCCCAGTGCCGTCTCCTCCCTGGGTAAGGGCAGCTGGAGCTGATGGCGGGAGCTAAGTAGACAGGCAGAAGCTTTTCGGGCTGAAGGTCCCGAGAGCCGCCACCCCCGAGGTGACTCTTGGTGCAGAAAGGCTGGCCCACGCGTCCCCTCAGCATTGATCCTGAGTTTGCCTCTTCAGCCTGCTCTCCCCCGCACCCTCGGTGTGGTGTGGAAGGGCTGCCCCCCAGGAACCTCAGGCTAGGCAGCACCAGGGCCAGGCTGCCCAGGGCACGCTGCTATTGATTAAACTTGTATGGGGCTTGTCGACGGTGATGTCAGTGGGGGAGGGGACACTTGGCACTTTTGATAGTGTGAAAATGGGTTAATTATTCTCCAAAAGGGCTTCATTTAAAAGTAAAATTCTAACATTTTAATTTCCCCTCCTAATGAAGCACTACAAATTTGTTAATTAGAGCAATTGTTTGAGTGACAGGCGTGTAACCAAGTTGTCATTTTCTCTTCACAGTTGACAGATCCTATCAGACCTATGTTAAGGGTAAGAAAGCCTCTTCTAGCACTGTTTTGCAACCTCTGTTTGACTCCCTGTGGGTTGGAAACGCAAGTCTGTAGCCAGCCTACCCAGCAGACTGTGGCACGGTGGTTGGGTTTTCAGGTCCTGTGTGATGCAAGTGACCGAGTTGTTTTGCTTTGGGCAGTGGAGGAAGCCATGCCACGGGCTTCTTATTTATGTAACTGGTAGAGCTGAGTCCGATTCCGGTGTGAGCAGGTATGGTAGAAAGTCTGATTGGATCTCAGGGAGGAAGACTTGAGCAACAGGCTGAAGTCAGTGTCTTTCAGGAAATGCATACTTACCTGGATGGGTGTGCTCTGCTGTGGCTCCCTGGTTCAGCACGAGGTGCTATTGACTTTTGTAGCCACTTGACCTGTTTCTTTGATGTGGGAAAGGATACTGTGAGCATTGGTTGTTAACGTCTTGTTTAAAGCAGAATGGCCTGAGGTCTGGTGCCTGGCCAGCAGATGGCCCCTCTGTGAATGCCAACTTCCCTATGCCTGTCTGAGTGGTAGACAATGGGCAGTAGACTTCCTGCGGTCCCCACCCATTTCTGGTGCATACTCTCAGATAATCCACCTTCTCCAAAGGGAACAGGAGGTCTGTGTCCTCACTTAGGTGAGGCAGTGTGGTACTTGTGATGTCAAACAACCTTTTCTCCTGTCTCCATGACAGGAGAAAAGTCCTGAATCTGTATTTCAAGAACAGCTCCCTACTACAGAAATCTGAAGCTTCTGTCCTTTGCCATTGCAGAATGGAGTTATTTCCTTCTGTCCAGTAGTTACCGCACATGCACTCTAGGCTTAAGAGGAGATTGCTTGACAGGAGGCAGAAAGAGGTGGTCCCTGCCCCGAGTGGCAGAAGAGAGGCACTTGCCGTCACCCCACTGCTCAGAAACCAAGGAATGATTTGGGAGATGCAAATTGATCTGCACTTCTCCAGGGGTGGAGGAGGGACTTGGTATTACAGAAGCCTGGAGAGTAGGGAGGAAGGAATGCCTTCCCCTCCCCTCCCCTTCTCTTAGACATGAACAGTGTCCCAGCATGAATGAGTGGTCAGCTCTTAATGAAGCATATGGGGTCACTGGACTTCAACAGAAGTGGGATGGATTCCATTGCCCCGCTTTGGGGGTTAAAGAAGCAACAGCCATGGGGAGGTTATGACAGGTCCTTTGCCCTTTCTTGTTTTGATTTGATTCCGACGCTCCCTAATTAGCCCTTGTGAACAGCTGATTTGCATTATAGCATAGCCACATTTGTTAAGTAGGACTTCCTACTTCACCAGGTCTGCCAGCTGGCACCAGAAAAGAAAGAAGAGGCACAAAGTGGGATTCAGGCTTTTCCCATCTTGTCCTTGGTAACTGGGGGTCCTTGTCAAGTATGGCTTCCTGAGTGGTGGCCAATGTCTGGGCCCCAGGAAGAGGGGGAGAGCGATTATGGCTCCCTGATGGCTGGGCCTGGCAGGGTTGCTGACGGGAGGCTCTTGGAGGCACAAAGCTCTCTTGTTTCATGAAAAAAAGTCTCTGCAGCCAGAATCTGCTGAGAGCTCGGGGGATTTGCAGGCGGTTTCCCTGAAACGTCTCCTTCTGACCACTTTGCTCTTTCTTGTTCCAGAAACCAGGGAAGTGGTGTGCTATGCATGTTCACATCGCCTGGCAGATTTACCACCACCAACAGAAAGTCAAGGTCAGTCTGACCTTCCTGGTTGGGGGGAGGGGGGGAGCTGGGTGCGAGCACGTGATCTGCCCAGGAGCACCTGAGTAAGAGTATTCAAAACAGGGTCCTGAAGACCAGAGGCAGGGAGAGGTCCCTCGGGAAGCCCATCTGAGAACCTTAATGAGGGAAACCTCCAGCAGAATCACAGAACAAAAGCAAACTGGTAGCTCCCTGGTGCATCTTTCCTTTTGATAAATTTGTCATCTTACTTAAATAGTAAGATCCAAAGGGTTTAAATATGGTTTAAATCCTGAAATAAAGGTTTTAATTATAATGAGCAAGAACTAGAATATGGAGAACACTTAAGAGGCTGAGAAAGCCAACAGAAGATGGTTTTGTTTTGTTTTTCAGTAGCAACCCATGTGTTCTCTTCCTTTTTGGGTTTGGGGAAATGATATTTATGCCCCATGTGGAGATGGTGGTGCTGAACCTCCGTCAGCAGCATGCATGATCACATTAGCCCTTCTGGGAGGTCACGCTGGGCCTGCTCTTACCATCTGTCAGTCTTCCTGGTGACCTATCCAGGTGTTAAGAGACAGTCAGTACCTGCCAGGACCACCTGGGGCAGGTCCTTTTTATTTGCACCATACAGATGAAGATGGTCCGTGCTTGACCAGAGCCTTTGTGGCACAGGAGGGAGGAGAGAGAGCATGCGGGTGGTAACGTGACAAGGTTCTGGGGCTTGGCTCAGACACATGGAACCTGACGTCCACACTTTAGCCTGGGTCTTTGCAGCCTGGAAAAATGATGGGAAACATCCAAGCAGGTCATTCTAGCATAGGTTTCTCCGTCCACCTCTTCATGCGTGACTAGGTCCTGGCAGCATTTAGTGACCCGTCAGCCTGAGGCCCATAGGCAAGGAGGACACGCCAGTCACATGGCAGGGTTCAGTGGTTCAGAAGCAAAGATGGAACCTAGTTAGAAGGGAGGAACAAACCTCCGCAAGACCTTTGGCTTTGGACACCTGCCCCTGGTGCTGACCACATATCAGTGAGTGCTGCTCACTTTTCCCTCCTTTTGCGCTCAGTGTAATTGGGACCTCGTGGTGTTGCTGATTAGTTCATGCTTTCTAGTTCCGGGTGACATGGTCAGCAGAACTATAAGCACAAGATGTCTTCCTTTTGTCCTTTGGTTGAACGCGATGAAGGATGTTATGTGTAGCAGCTTCTCCATAGAAACGCCCCTGGCAACTCCAGCTCTCATTATCCCCATTCAATCAGCAAGACCCTTGAACAGGAGATGGCTCTGTTCATCTTCCCCTCCCACAAACTGCTGGCAATCCCAGCCTCCGTTTGGCTTCATGGACCTGAGTTGGTTTAATGGATCTGTGCTGTACACCATGCGATGTTAGCACCAAATAATTTGGCAACCAAATTAAAGGAGATACTCAGGAGATTTTTATAGATTGATAGTGAATCAGGCTTGGTTTGGGCTCCGCTGCTCCTTTAGGGAGGGACTCCATTATGGCAGTCCCTGTGGGTCTGAGCAGAGTCCCCTCCCCTTGCTCAGCAGTGCTCATTTACTCAGCTCTTTAGTGAGCTGCCTAGTAGGCTCAGGGCTGCTCACCGCAGGGCTCAGAGGGCCCCTCTCTCCCTGTCTCACTCCTCA